CTCAGCCAGTGAGCGGGAGCCGGTCTGTATGTGGGATCCGAACCCTCGGACGGGAGCGCCGCCGCGCCTCCCAAGCGGCGCACTATCCAGTGCGCCACCGGGCCGGCCCAGAAATGAAATATTCTAAAAATATATTTTAGGTAAGACATATAGCAACTTTATTTGTAATAGCCAAAAACTGGAAAACACTCAAGTGTTCTTCAACAAGTGAATAGTTAAACTATGATATACCCACACCATGGAATACAGTTCAACAATAAAAAGAAACAGACTATCAATACATGAAAACAACTCAGATTAACCTTAAGGAAACTATGCTAAGCAGAAAAAAAAAAAAAAAAAAAAAAAAAAAATCTCAAAAAGATACATACTGCATGATTTTATATTAACACTTGTGACATAATTATAGAAATGGAGAACAAATTAGTCACTGCCAGGGGTTAGGGATTTTGGGGGGTGGGAGGGTTCAGATGTGGGATACAGATATATATAGATATAGATATTATTAGGTAATTTTTAAAAATTCCCTTGTAAAACAGTTGATCGGTCATTCCTTTTGATGTTGTCCTAGTGGTCAAGAGAAATATCTTTTTTCATTACATTCTTACAAACCCACCTCCCCCCTCCAATGAAAGACAAATCTTGCAGGAGAAGTAATAGCTTTGTGCTGAAGTCTGATAATGACCTGAGGCAGTATCCTAGGCATGCTGCCGAAGCAGAAGAGTAATGCCAATTTCTAAGCCTTTCCTTTTATGGCATTATGTTATAATAAGTTAGAATCCATTGTAGTCATGATAATTCACTATTGTCCAATGGTTTTATGTACATATGTAACATATTTAAAATATTTTTACACCTTAATGAAAATATTCCTACACTATTTAATTTTATGCCACAGAATAATCTGTATGTCAAAATTAGCTTCTTCAAATGGGGAACCACTTTATTATGCTCACTGTATTTCAGAATGAATACCAAGGGCAGTTATTATTGATTCAACCACAAATTCACACACTAAAAAAAGAAAAAAGAAGAAACTGTAAGAAACATACCTTAAGTAATGCATAAAGGTTGGGAAAATACATATACACAAGAGGAATAGCTAACTTGACAAACAATATCTTTTTGTAGGAAAAATCTGTAAGCACTAAAGTATTTCAATCAATTTTGGGTACTGTTTTTAAAAAGCATCTAAATTGTGTTAGGAATAATAATTTATACAAATTAAGAAATGAGTTCTTATACTGAAAACACCTCTGCTACTTCCTAGTACTCAAATTTCAGAAGACATGATAATTTAG